ATATATATATATATATATATATATATAGTTGAAAACGGAAGAAAATGACAATACAATTTTGGAAATATATGAAATGTCAAAAATTTAATTTGAAAAATATATTTTGAATAAGATGGCCAGTATGATATAATGAGATTAATGTAAACTTGTTAATGTTTTTATATTTTTACAAATTTTAATTTCATCAATACTTATTATTAGTACAATTTTTAATATATATAAGATAATCTTTAAAGAAAAGTACAAATTTTGGTGTTCGTTAATGAATAATAAAAGTTCATTTTAATGTATTAAGTTTTTAAGATCAAATACATTTATAATTGTTGTATATAATTATAATAGCAACTATTAGTTACATGATTTAAATTCATAAAAAAAACAGTTTAGTTAAAATTGGACGATCTCATTATTTCAATGCTCTTTTCACTTGAAGATTAAAATTATTTTGTATTTCTTTATATTGTTTCTTTCTCTGAGAATTTTTTATTTTAATATATTAAAACATATAAAGAATTATTTTTTGCAAATTACTAATCACAGAAAGAAAAAAAGAATTTATGTTTTAAGTGCAAAATGTAAAAGATATATAATCTATAGATATATAATTTTTGTCTTCTCGTTATTCAAAATAACATTGTTTTTTTTTTTTTTATGAATTAAAAAATATTTTAAAAATTCATAAATATTTTCTATAATAGAAAATAATTTATTATTAAATACTACTACATAATAAAAGTGCCAATAAGAAATTCTCATTAATTATATATTTATTATGTTATTATTATAAACTATGTCAAAATTTTACTTTATTTAATTAATAATACATAAATGATATCAAAAGTTATAATTTGATAAGATATAAGAATATCAGATAATAATAATGAAAATTAGATTTAAATTATTTTTTTTTTAAATTTTAAACTAACATAATTTCAAGATTATATTGTTTTGTTCTTAGAAAAGATGATAAATTAAGAATAATTTTTATTATTTTAAAAGAGTATCTAGTGTATTAATATTTCATTTTTTGATTTTATTTATAAATCGAATTAAATGATTTTATTTTTAACATGCTTGGAATTGTATTAAGAAACACAGTAAGTATAACTTTTCATTCTTTATAAAAATTATTGTAATTTTTCTCATTTAATGAAAAATAAGAAATATAATTTCATTACTTTTAAAAATAATAAATGAAATTCATATTTTTTAATAACAATAAAAATCACAAAAATGAGATTTTTTGATTGTTATTATAGATTTAACTCATAGATAGATTAATATATGAATTATCCATAAATTCAAAATTACGTTCGTATTTTTTATTACAATACAATAAAAATAATATGAATTTGTATAATAAAACGTTATAAGAAAGATAGAGATAAGGTATATAAATATTGATATCAGCGCCATCTATTGTATGCCTCAATTGTAACACAAGTAAAAAGTATAAGAAATAATGAAAGAAAGAAAGAAATTTTTTTCGTAGTATATAGATATGTAAGTATATATGCTTTTTTTGAGTACATGAATATAGTTTCTATATTAACCGTAATAAATCGCAGAGGGCGTAAGAAACATTCTGCTTTTTTCGAAGTCGGTATTTCAAAACGTGAGTTACAAAATTCCGTAAGATGTCATACTTATCTTATGCTAACCTCGTCTAAGATGTGATCTCTAAAATTTAGAAAACGATATTACTATTCGAAGATAATAAAAATATATCAATATTAGATAAGTTTTGTTAGTTCAATTATTGAATGAATTATTTTCGATGGATTGTATTTTTTTACGTCTTTTACGTTTTTCGACCATAGTAAATTGTAAAATTGTAACAAACGTCTTGATTTTTCGAGATCGATATTTCAATACATATGACATAGATGATTTTCTTTATTATCAACATGTATTAAAATGGAATTTATATGAATAAAAAATAATTAAATATTTATACTTACATTTTTAAAATATTTTAAATTTGGAATATAATAATTTCAATGAAATGAAATTTATTTTAAATATCGTTACAATTATGTTTATATTTTATCTTATTTTTTAACTGAAATAAATTCATCAAAAAATCTTTACATCTTGAAGCTTTAAAATACTTATTAGAGAAATGAAAAAATAATATCTTCTATACGTAAATTAAAAACAACGATTTTCTCTTATTTAAAAATATTAACAATTAAATTCAAAACATGGAGGGATCAATAGAATAATCGCTATAAAATTTGTAATACAGTCGTTTTAATTTAGAAATTCTTGAAAGGAGACACTGATATGAATAATATAATCATATACGTATATACAATAAAGAGAATTTTCCATTCGTATTGTGTTTAAATCGTATTATTGCGTGTCTAACGCTATCGCGGGATTCAGATCGATGTAGACTGTTTATCAAGTTTCCCTACCAAACGAGAATTAATTGATCTGTACACCACTGTAAGTCGTATCGTTCGAGACATCGAGTTGTATATTTCTGTATATTTCACGTGTTTTCAGTTAGATTCGAATGATTTAAATTCGAATGAAAAAAAAAAAAAAAAAAAAGTGTATTTCCCTCTTAAAAAAACAAAGTAATTTTTAAAATTATCATAAAATTTATTACCTCCATTTAAAATAATTCGTATAATTTATATCGTTTAAAATGCGTTGTAAAATACAAAAAAAGTTTATTAAACGTTGGAAAAAAATATTTATATACATATATACACGGCTCGATGCCTCTGAAGATGTAATTTCTACAAATCTTAAAGGAATCGTCGAATATTCTCGTAGATCGAGATTCAGAATAAAATTTCTCATGTGTCTTCAATACTTTGTATACCTTATTTATTTTTCTTTTTTTATCTTCGTATAATAATCATAAACGTACAATTTAAAACAATAGTGCTTGTGTGTGAGTGTGTACGTGTGTATGTGTATGCAATGTACAGGATAATCTTTAAGCTATAATACAATTTGAAATGAAATACA